ATTGTTTGTGCATTCGTTTGTTGCATAGCATAATCATACAACAGCAAAAAAAAAAATATATAACGAAATCTCAAAAATATTTTCACAATAAACACCCTTATCTCGGACAGTCTGCCTTTTAGCTAGTTTGGTTTCAGGTTCTTTGTAAGCTAAGTAGCCACGCAGTCCGACAGAAGAGATAAGGGACGTTAAAACCATTCTTTCACAATAAACACTTTTATCTCGGACAGTCTGCCTTTTAGCTTGCCTGGTTTCAGGTTCTTTGTAAGCTAAGTAGCTACGCAGTCTGACAAAAGAGATAAAAGGTTTTAAAATAAATCAAAATAATTACCATAATGAAAGGGAATCGGGCCTTTTTCATGGTGTTAAACATCGAATCCATCATATAGGTAGTTTCATTATTCTTCGAAAAATAAAAAAATCGTGCACCATGTAGAAAATAAAACATGATAATGTTTAGGAAAAAACAAACACTTTCATGCATACGAAAGCATCATACTCATACCATGCATTTTCTGTCATTTCTAGAAAAATGGAGGGATCAGGCAGTAAACAGTTGGGAAAAGTGGATATTCCCCGCTACCGTGTTGAGAAGTTGGAGCAGTTGTGCGCGTTTATGCCATCAGAGGTTCGATCCGACTTTGAGAGATCTTACGGACGGATCTTAGACCTCTTGAAAATATGTGTTGACCATGTGTTCGTCAGGGTCTTGATCCACTTTTGGAGCTCCAAATTGTATTGCTTTGAGTTCCCTCAGTTTGATTTGGTTCCGACCCTGGAAGAGTACGAACTTATGATCAGATGGCCCAAATCAGCCGGGATCTACATTAGCCAGGGGGCTTACGTCTCGGTAAACAAAGTCGCTCACCTCATCCGTTTACCAATTCCACAGTCTGCCCTGAAGGGAAAAGGGAACATTCAAGGATGGAAGATATCACTTTTAGAGGACCATTTATCCTCTCTGGCTGAAAAAGGAGATTGGCCCACATTCAACAAGACTCTGACACTAATTATGTTTGGGACCTTTTTATTCCCTTTCCATAACGACGCCGTGGATCACGCCGCAATGGATGCCTTCTTTGCTTGGGATGTACATTTGAAGAGTCTCGTGCCTACGCTTCTTGCCGATACCTTGCTGTTAGTAGAATTTTGTCGTCATAAGCAAGGAAAAACACTTCGTTGTTGTTCTGCATTGCTGTTTGTTTGGGGCATCACTCACTTCTATGCTTCAAGTCACATGGGAGCATTCCCAGACCCTTTGAGGAGCTTCTCGAAGATCCCCCTCCATCATCGTGGTGCCATGGAGTGGAAGACTGAGTTGGAGCATTGGAACATAGATCAAATATCTTGGGCGTGTTCTTGGTTCCGACCTGGTCCCGTTCTTATCCGATGTGGAGATCACCCCAGTGTATCGTTATTGGGCCTAAGGGGTTTTATAGCTTATTCTCCGAAGATAGCTATGAGGCAGCTCATGAGGACCCAGACCACGCCAACACAGGAAGAAATCGGAGGATTGTGTTTCTTCTGCAGTTCCAGCAGCTTCAAGGATGCTCCTTCAATCCGAAGAGCATGGGAGAAACCAGTCTACTTGGGGGACGAAGAGCTTGGCAGGGCTCGAGTAGCAGTTTCCAGTGACTTTGAAGAATGGAGGAAGAACAGAGGGGTGCCACATCCACCCGCTCCATCCCCCATGCCATCAGTAAATACAGAACTACGAACCCGAGTCGACGCCTTGACCCAAAGGATAGAAATTATGGGAGCCCAATTGAGGGGCCTTGAGGAGAAGGAACAAGAATCTATCCTTACCATTAATGGTCTGCAAAGTCAGTGCAAGAAGAAGGACCAAGAGACAGAGCGTCTCAAGGACCAGTGTGCTGACTCCAACAAAGAGGTTGCCCGAGCATCTAAAATTGCTAGAGCAAGCTCGGATAATCAAATCCAGGAAATGACTGCCAAATTAGCACACCTTGAGGCCGAATTTGCAAAGCAGGAACAAACGACCAAGATGATGCAACAAGACCTCGAAAGGACTCGGTCTGAAGCACAACAAAAAAGGGAAGCCGCCCAAAGACTTAACAGAGACTTGGCCGAGCTACGATGCAAGGAGAGAGACGAATTAGCTCAATACAACCAAGTACTGCAAGAAAGAGACCGAGCCCTTGAGAAACTTGATGACTTGCAGGCCTTGGTCGTCCATCAAGAGGCAAAGATAGAAGAGGCTCGTAAATACAGTGAAGATATGAGCCAGGCAGTCCATCGCCAGACTGAAGCACTTACTCGCCATGTACGGGAAGCCAAAGGGGAATTACGTAGAAACCAGAGCCCGCCTGTGGGTTTCTTTAGGCTTTTCCGTTTCTGCCAAAATGTACTTCGTAGCATGGCCTAGGGGAATGTACACTTTTTCTGGATAAATAGAACCACGTTTTGTTTATCTATACAACTGTTTATTGCATTCATCTCGCATTCATTCACATATCTCTCCTTGCTTTAAAATTAATAAGATAATAAAAAAGAAAAGGTTAACTGATGTGCTTTCGTAAATCAGAAGAATGGAAAGGAAACCACTCATCATCAGTCTTTCCTCAACGGTGGAGCCACCCATGACGGACAATAAACCTCAACCACTGGTTATCGCGATCAACGGAGAAGAGGGGGTTAGGATACCACTGAGACTATTTATGCCTCGTTCTTTCCCCTACGAATTGAATAAAGCTGTACCATGGAAATACGCAGTAAACGAAGATGTTTCCAATATAGCCGGTATCGGGGGCATGACAAGGAGCGGGCAAATATACTCTCCCAAGAATTCACAAGAAGACGCCCCCAAAAATAAAGGAAAAAATAAAGAATCCGAAGAAGAAAACAAAGAAGAATCCAAGGAGGAAGCAGACGAATTACTCCAGTTCATAAAGCAAAGTGAATACTCCATCATAGACCAACTCAACCGCACACCCGCGAAGATAACTTTGTTGTCTCTGATACTGAGTTTGGAACCGCATTGAAACACATTGTTGAAGGTCTTGAACGAAGCCTACGTGTCACACACCATATCCCAAGACAAGTTTGAAGGAATCATTGGGAACATCACAACTAGTGATCATCTTACCTTCACCGATGAAGAACTTCCCCCTGGAGGGTCAAGCCATAACAAGCCTTTACACATATCCGTCAAGTGTAGAGAATACCTCATCGCCAAAGTCCTGGTGGATAATGGGTCATCCCTAAATGTCATGCCTAGGTGCACGCTTGACAAATTGGCAATTCAAGAAGCCCATATGCGTCCAAGCAACACCGTCGTTCGAGTCTTCGACGGATCAAAACGTGAGGTAGTAGGAGAAATCAATCTACCAATCCGGGTAGGTCCCACTATTTTCAACGTGGACTTCCATGTGATGGATATCACTCCTGCTTACAGCTGCCTCCTCGGCAGACCTTGGATTCACGACGCCAAAACAATCCCATCAACGTTCCACCAAAGGATCAAATTCATGGTAGGTGACAAACTGGTCACAGTTCAAGCCGAAGATGACATCTTGATCAGCAAGCCGTCGACCCTACCCTATGTGGATGCAACAGAAGAGGCCCTCGAAACATCCTTTCAAGCGCTGGAGATTGCCAATGTTGAAAGACTTCTCAACAACGTGAGGGTGGCACATATGATGACAAAGTACGGATACCGCCCAGGCCAGGGACTCGGTGCAAATTCTCAAGGAATAAGGGAGCCACCAGATTTCAAGGACAATCCTTTGAAACGCGGTCTAGGGTATGACCCTAATACAAGAAGAAAGGGAAGGTCTCCCCTCCGCCCATTGAATCAGATCTTCCGAAGCGGAGGGATACAGGCGTCAAGAGCAACTTTAGTCATTAGGTGTTCTTCTTCCATTTTTTAAAGGAATGTAAACCCAATGACTATTAGAGATTACTCCCCGGGGCCAGCCTGACCCCCGGGCATTTTCAGGGCACATATTACCCTTTTAATCATACAAGAATATATTTCTTACTATCTACTTCTTTTCTTACTATTCATGTCTGTGCCTCATTAATAACCATGCTTAAGCAAATGTTTCTAAAATGCGTCTAAAAATTTGAAAGCGCACCGTCAGTAAAGAAACAAATTGAACCATCACTGATTGATTAGAAACATAAGTAAGGTTTTACCCCATCATAGTGAAACTGTGTTTTGCCAACGTTGCGAAAATAATAAGAGAGCCCATAAAAGCCAAAGGCCAAAAAAAAGGGGCATCTAACCCGGTAGGAAACCCACAAAAGGGGGCTACGCAAAAGTTAGGGTCAACCCGCTAGGAAACCCGAACAATAATAAAAGGGTAGCCTAGGCAAAAAATAGGGTTACAAAGTAAGATCCATTAGAGTTTCTAAAGCATAATAAAAAGAAATCCTGACAAAAGTTAGGACGAAACACGACGTCCTAGATTGAAAACCCGAAGGGCGGTCTAGGAAGGACAATCAGTCTTAATAAGCGCCGCAAAGCTCACCAAGTAAAGACGCAAACCCGCAAACAAACGTTCGTTTAAGCTAAGCCTAAACAGTTTGACTAACCCTGGCTAGCCGTGCTTACAAATACCATTGGTTCTAAGAAATCCCCTCTAAAAACACAAACCTTTGATTTAATCATCCTCTTCCTTCTTTTCTCTTGACCCTTATCACTATGATATTCTAGCGATTAACTGGGTAATGTGGAAACATAGTAATCAATAGGAGAATTGAAATTCCAAAAAAAGGGGAGAAGCACACTAGTATGACGAAATAGCTCTTCAACATGATCATTCTTCGGTTGAGGCAAATCCAAAACGGCTGAAATGGTACAACTGAAGGTAACACCAGAAGAATCTCGCCGTCAGGAGTACATCATTTAACTTTTCTGAAAGTAATTAACTGAAATAGCATTATAAGTTGCATATCATAAACATTACATGCATAGATGTTGATGAACAAGGTCCTATTTCCTTCAAAAATAATAAATAATAATAATATAAAAAAAGGGAGCAGATGGCCGTCCGTCTAAGGCGAGATGGCCGTCCGGAAGTGGCCGTTGGGGCCGGATGACCGTCCACCTTGAGCGAGATGGCCGTCCAGAGGTTTCTGTTGGGGGCAGACGGCCGTCCACCTTAGCCAGACGGCCGTCCATGGGCGACCGTTAGGGGTAGATGGCCGTCCACTTAGAGCAGACGGCCATCCGCCCCTGTATTTTTTTGCCTATAAATTTAGGCGCCCCAAATGGCTCATGGCACCTCATTCTTGCATTCTCCCTTCCTCCTACACCTCTCATTTGCATATTTTGAGTGTTCTTTGTTGAGTAATGGATCGTGGAGAGTCGTCTACACGTCGGAAGCGCTCCCGGGGACCCATAAGGAGCATCCCTCCTCCTCAGGTTCCCACTCAACTAACCGAGCAACACCAGGCTAGGTTTGCCAATATCAGCCAGTATGCCTGGCACCCTATGCTCTGGTTGGACTTTAGCATCCTAACCATGTTCGATTGGGATCAGGATGTAAGGAGATACATCCAAGGTATAGGGTGGGACTTCCTGCTCAAGGATCCACCTACCCGCATCCACCGCACGGCCACGCTGGAATTCCTTGCTTCAGTCACACTCATAGACCTACCATCCATGAGCCCCGGGCTTCCGCCTGTCCCAGCAGTCACCTATTGGATGAATGGAGCTTACCGGACCAACGTCATAGCTGACTTCAACGTCCTCATGGGGTTCCACCAGCCTGCAGAGATCTAGACACCGGAATATAGGGGGACATTCTGCGAAAGGCCAACTACCCTCACCACCAGTCAAATATGGGAGGAGCTCACCGGCTCCCAGCATGTTCCCACCAATCCAAAGGGGACCGCCTTCCTCCCACCTCTCCGCATCTGTCATAAGTTACTAGCGGGCACCCTCCATAGCCGAAAGGAAAGTCAAGGCAAGGTCACTCAGGCGGACCTCTTTGTCATCTACTACATGCATCAAGGAATCCGATGCAACCCTGGCTACCTTTTCTCGAAGGCCCTGAAGGACTTTAGGACACGAGGCCCTGCGAGATCCATCATGGTAGGCCCTCTTATCACCCCTCTAGCTGAGTACTGGGGATGCACCGATGGAGAGGACATCTCTACTGCCCTGCGACCGGAACTCATAGACGGTTCGGTGCTCGCCCATATGGGCATGCTCACCCGTCAGGGCACCTCCTGGGTCCTGCACCCCATCCTTGCTATGACATTCGACATCCACGAGATGGACGCTTCAGAATCACAAGAGACGCTCGTCCCTCCAGGGTCCCAACAGCAACAGACGCAGTACGAAGATAGCCTCGCCAACCTGCACCAGCACATGAGCGACGACAGGGCCCACTCGGATAGGCAGTACCAGCACCTGTGCCACAGATCGATCAGCTGTCCCTGAGACAGCAGAGCTATGAGCAAGCACGGGAAAGCCTTAGCTTGAGGGTGGATGACCTCATGCAGAGAATGGACACGATGGGCCAGGACATACACGGCATGATCCGAAGCCAAGAAGAATTCCAGCACCGCGTACTCCGCCGACTCCCTTCGCCATCACCATCCTCAACATCCAGTTCAGAGCCGAAAAGTTGAGACCTTTTACAAATCTCCTATTGTATTCTAATTTTCAGCAAAATAAATAAATAAAACTTTACGTTTTTTTGTCTTGTTACCGCTCTTTTGTTTACAAAAGACAGCGTGCACAAAAGAAACTAAGAAAATAAAAAGGCACACGCGTCTTTCAAAAAAACCAAATTTTAAAATCGCGGGAAAAAAGAATAAAACTGCAGAAAAAAGGCGAAACTAATCGAAAAATTCCAGGACCCTATTCAAACTACCACGACCAATAAAAGGCCAAACTCCCAATGGATTCCTGCCTACCTAAGAGGCATTCATCAAGAATCCCCAGTAATCAAGAAGCTGGACGACTAAACAAAAAGCCAAAATCGAAGAATCCCCGGCATACCAGACAACTACACAAAAGTCAAGAACAATTATTCCCCATGGAACCGACGCATGATCAGAAACAGTAAGCTGCCACCACCACTTCAGGAAAGGGAAAGACCTGAAGACGAAGACCTGCACACAGGCAAAGCCGGCGCACGACCAGAAGTAGTAAGCCGCCACCACAGCCAAAGGGTTAGCTACCGCGTCGAAGGAGCATCCTGAGGCATATAATCTGATGGGGTTCGTACTCATCAACCAAGGGGTCAGCTACCGCATCGAAGGAGCATCCCGAAATTCTCTATGTGTCAGCCGAAGGGTCAGCTACCGCACCGAAGGAGCATCCTGAAGCCTCACAGCATATCGTCCGAAGGGTCAGCCTCCACAGCAAGAGGAGCATCCAGAAGACAACTGGGCAAGAGGGTTAACTCCTTCACCCGCCAATTGACCTCATGGTATGTTAACTCATGCTCAATTGGTCGGGTAAAGGGGGGCAGCTGTAGACCCAAAATCTTGCCTGACTCCCTAATAAAGCCGAAGATCGCCCGTTTCGAAGATGGTTAAGACTTTATCAAGTCCCTAGTAGCTTGTTCTAGGTTCCATTTAGGATAGGAAGGGTTTTTAGAGGCATTTAAAATTGGGAAATTCACCAGAGACAGCAGATGGCCGTCCAGGACAAGCGGATGGCCGTCCAGAACAGGCAGATGACCGTCCATGGCAACTTTAAGGCCAGGGACGACCGTCCACTTAGCTTGGACGACCTTCCATGGCCAAAAGTTGCCATGGACGACCGTCCACACTGCATGGATGGCCGTCCATGGCCACTTTTTGCCATGGACGACCGTCCACTTTGTCCAGACGGCTGTCCACCTTTTCCAGACCCGAATCCCTATAAATAGGAGCCTCATTTCTCTGTTTTTTCACACCTTTTCTACTCCTCCATTCTCTTGGAAGCCTTTGGCACTTGAGAGTGACCCTGAGCATTATTCCGGGGTTCGAGGGAGCTTTCCGATTTTCGTTAAAGTTGAAATCGATTAAGGAAGTCTCTTTTTGAGACATCTGGCCCTCGGTAGAGTGACTTTTCTTTATTTTGCGGGAGGAGCGTGCTTGTAGAGTGCGGGGACTGCCAAAAAGCGTCCTCACATTTTCGAAGAGTTAATATAAAGCTCGCTTCGGAGGTTCCTTCTCTATTCTCTGTCTCTTTTACTGCTTTCTTTATCGCTTTCTTTGTGTGCATTAGATAATAGAGCCATGTAGATATTTAAATTCTGCAAGTAGATAAAATAATAGGGTAAAAGTATAATTTCTTTAAGTGTTTATTTTCTAAGTTAGTCCATCATAGGGAACCCGAAAGGGGTGTTGTGGGGGTGCTAACACCTTCCCCACACGTAACTAACTCCCTTACCCGACTCCGGTTGTAATGGCCAAAGTTGGTTTTTTCTAAAACCACTGCCTTCTTCTTTTTTTACCTTTTTCAGTGTTTAAGGTTAAAACACTGATGGCGACTCCTCAAACCTATTCAAAAACCTCGCCTTTAGGTCCAGCCCGGTTATCAGACGGCCTAAAGGCGTTGAACCACTTATTTCAAAAAACGCGAGTCATTTCAAAACCATCGCATCGCTCCGACCGCCTCTTCTGACGGCGGCGACAATCACTCTTGTTCTTGGAGATTGACATTCTACAAGCTTCTACAATTTGAAAGTGATACTAGCAAAGATCTCAGTGATTTGATGAAGTCAAAGATAAAGTCAAAGGTCAACTCTGCAATAGTCAAACAAGTCACTCAGAAGAATGGAGCTGAAGACTTAGTGTTTCTTATCAGAAAGCTTAGGTAAAACCACTTTACCTTTTCCACTGCATGAAGCTCCTTCACTCAATTTGCAAAATGCCTCAAAAATAGTTTTAAACAAATCAATCAAAAGCATTTTGACAAAGAACTTTCTTAACAATGTTTTTAACTGATACAGTTTTAAAAGAAACAATTAAAATCACTTAGAATGCGTAAAGAAGTGTTTTTACAGTATTTTAATCGATACAAACTTCTTTTAATCGATTAAAACTCTTTATGACCGATTAGAATTCGAATATGACAGGTCAGAATGAAATATAATCGATCAGACTTTAAAAATGAGCGATCAGATTTATTTCAATCGATTAAAACACGTTTCAATAGATTAAAATCACTTTGGAAGTCAGGATGATCGATCAGAATGAAATTATGACCGATCAGAGTTGGTTATGATCGATCAGAATTGAATTATGACCGATCAGACTTATTTCAATCGATTAAAACGAATTTCAATCGATTAAAATGACTTGAAAATTTTTGTACAGAGTTTCAATCGATTAAAATGAATTTCAATCGATTAAAATAACTTGGAAAATTTTTGTACAGAGTTTCAATCGATTAAAACGCGTTTCAACCGATTAAAACAACTTAGAAAAATTCTGTGCAGGTTTTTAATCGATTAAAACTTCTTTGTATCAGTTAAAATAACTTGAAAAGTTTTATAAGAAAGTTTTAAAGTAAATCAATCGATTAAAACACGAATCAATCGATTGAATCACTCTCAGAAAATGTTTGTAAAATGTTTTAACTGATATAAACATAGTTGTATCAACGAAAACGATTCTGTTAGTGAAACAAGAACGCATTAATGGGTTGAAAGGACTTTTAACAGATTATAACGACTATTTCAACAGATTAAAACAAACTTTCAACAGATTAATTAATGCAGCAGATTTGAAAATTCTTTTTAAAAAACAGTTTTGCTTGAAATTTTTAAACAGAGATTGAATATCAGTTTTCATACAAACTAAGCAAACAATTCAAGCAACTGTTAAGCATCCTTTTCCAAGAAAGATTCGTAACTGCTTTGTGAACTTCTTTTGAAATCTTTCTTGAGGCACTTTTGCATTCTTTGAAGGAGGAACTTACAGTGGATAAGCGTAATCCGGTTTGAGCTTTCTAAGTTTCTTCTTTTCAATTGCTATTCATTCTTTTGTACTGTTTTGTACCTGGAATTTGGGTACAAGTTTTCTGCAGCTGGTAGGTGGTTGTAGAAGTTTCTAAGAACTGGAATTTGGTTCTTGGTGGAGAGGTTGAGTACAGGAACTGGAATTTGGTTCTTGTACTCGTGTGGTGCCTGGAATTTGGGCACTCGGTTTCTCTCGCAACTGGAATTTGGTTGTAGAGGTTTTCAAG